AAGTGGAAATGCAAGTGGAAGTGGAAATGCAAGTGGAAGTGGGGATTGACTTCCTGGTTTGTTCCAGCAATTTTTTAATTCGTCTAAAAATTCTAAAATTTTAATACCATTAAAACTGTGGTGAAAACAAAAAATTTTATCTCCACAAAAAAAACAAATAAACTATATCCAGTTATTAGATTCAAAAAATCCTTTTTCCCCTTTTTAAAAAAAAAAAAACAATATTGAGTGGAAAATCAAGAAAATCTGCAATGTCATTCATATCAATTTTGTTTGGAAGTTATATAGATGCTCCCCGTTTTTATTGTTCTGAAAGGATATGTGTACAAGGAGGGCGATTTATGGCACAAAGGTAGAAAAATATGCTTTGGAACAGGTCATATTTTGCATTTTTACATTAATCTTTTTCACATCGTCGAGTATATTCCTTTTCCCCCCTTTCTTTCTCTCTCTCTCTCTCTCTCTCTCTCTCTCTCTTTTGGATTCTGTTCTCCGTTTGGTTTTTGAAGACATTTACTTAGAATAATGCCTATCCATACTCCCAATCTGTCAAGGGCCTCCCACTGGCCATGTAAGTCAGGCGTTGTTATGTAAATATGGAAAAGGTTGTTGATTCATGCATGAGGACGGCATGAATCTCGTTGTCTTGTCCGCCGAGCCGTGAAACTGATGCATTCGTATATATATATATATCGTTGGCAATCCCCAGGAGTGGCGATCGCTATGCACGTATGTACTTACAGTTGTGCACTTACTTTGTCTTTTATAACCATTTTCTTACATTTAAATATTCATGTTCTTGTGATTACAATAAAAAACAATATTTTTGAACTTTAAGAGAAATTATATTATTATCATCTGTTTTTTTTGCAAATATTCGTGAGCTATGGAAAATGTATACAAGAAGTTCATGCATGTATGTGTCAGTTCTGTGTACTGAAGCAAAGTCTCTAACTTCCAAGTTACTTACTCCTTGCCACTTAGATCCTCTAGTTCGTGTCGGGAGTCTCAAGACTATAATTCACCCGTGTCTCTTGTTTTACTCGAGCATGGATTTTAGTTTTCTTCCTTCTATAGTTTTTTTTTTTCTAATTATTTTCCAACCCCTTTTGAATTAAATTTTTTATTTTATTTGTTTCAGGTATGTTCATTTCAAATCATCACTTCAAAGTCTATAATATCCGGATGGACAAAAAGGTAATCAAATTTTTATTTTACATTAGTATTCTATAAACAAATTAATTGCATCAGCCAATTGATTTCAATTTATAGAAAAGTAGTTTGACAGCGTTTAAGATACATAAATTAAATTAACTTCTTCGCCTTATGCCAATCAAGAGGGTTTTTTTTTAATAGACAAGAGTGAATGAAATGAATTAATAGGGAGAAAAATTCTTGCAACATTTGACGAATATTATAAAAAAATGAGTTGAATTTAAATTTATTGCAAATATCCTTATGATACAACTCTGTCCAATTAGCATCGGAGGAAGATTAACATAATCTGTATTCGGAATATTTATATGGAATTAGTGTGCCATAGTCATATTTCATAGAGGTATTAGTTAAGCTGAAGGATTTTGGGGGTTTGTGAGCGTCTATATCTTCTGCCCCTCGGTCCTTTCATACACCTCCATTGCTTCTCGCCACCTACAACTACGTTATCATAAATGATCCCTCCTCTATATCTTTTCATAATCCATCACGAAGAAAACATCGTTCTCTTATGCTCTTAAGATATCGAGAAATTCACAAGTTATTTTATGTTCTACTTTCATCAAAATTAAATTAATTGAATAGTTGATTTAAAATAAAAATTTCAATTATAGATTCATCTAAATTCAATTTTGAATTTTAATAATAAATTATTTAGAGTACATTAGCAAGTAATTGTAAATTAATAAACAGAAGCTAGAAACTCGAAGTGAGGAATTCTTCCAAGCGCGGCCATTTTCGGTCATGCGCATTAGCGTTCTTTCACAGATTATAATGTTTCGGAGCCATTTTCGCTCATGCGCATTAGCATTTTGGCGCAGAATAACGTTTTAGTCAGGAAAATAAAAAAAAATTGCAAACAATATAGTAATTAAAATCGCAGTGGAATTGAAATACCTTTTTTCGAGCGATGATTGTATAAGGTAAAATCTTAATAAATGATCCCTCCTCTATCCTTTCATAATCCATCACGAAGAAAACATCGTTCTCTTGCTCTTAAGATATCGAAAAATTCACAAGTTATTTTATGATCTGCTTTCATCAAAAATTAAATTAATTCTTCTGCATTGAATAGTGATTTTAAATAAAAATAAAAAAAAATTCTTAAAAAATTGCAAAATAACCCTTTTTCGGGTTAAAATTGAAAAAAGATGTTACATAAAAATAGTTTGTAAGATTTTCTAAAAGCATATATATGCAAAGTATTTTGATTTATTTAAAAATAATTGAAAATAGATTTTTCAAGGACGGTGTCGAGGTCACGGGGTCGTTGTCGTTTTTCGAAATTTGTTAACTTAATATAATAGAAGATGTTTCGTTTTAAATTAAAAAATGTTAAAATTATTAAGTTAAAAACATTTGATTTTAATGACACTTAAAATTAGACAACAATATTATAGGTTACTAACTAAAAATTGAAAAAACAACAATAAATAATAAAAAATTGAAAAAATCAAAAAATTCTTTAAAAATTGCAAAATAACCCTTTTTCGGGTTAAAATTGAAAAAATAACCCTTTTTCGGGTTAAAATTGAAAAAAGATGTTACATAAAAATAGTTTGTAAGATTTTCTGAAAGCATATATTCAAAGTATTTTGATTTATTTGAAAATAATTGAAAATAGATTTTTCAAGGACGGTGTCGAGGTCACGGGGTCGGTGTCGTTTTTCAAAATTTGTTAACTTAATATAATAGAAGATGTTTCGTTTTAAATTAAAAATTGTTAAAATTATTAAGTTAAAAACATTTGATTTTAATGACACTTAAAATTAGACACAATATTATAGGTTACTAACTAAAAATTGAAAAAACAACAATAAATAATAAAAAATTGAAAAAATCAAAAAATTCTTAAAAAATTGCAAAATAACCCTTTTTCGGGTTAAAATTGAAAAAAGATGTTACATAAAAATAGTTTGTAAGATTTTCTAAAAGCATATATATGCAAAGTATTTTGATTTATTTGAAAATAATTGAAAATAGATTTTTCAAAGACGGTGTCGAGGTCACGGGGTCGGTGTCGTTTTTCGAAATTTGTTATAACATCGCTAGTTTTAATAATAAATTATTTAGAGTACATTAGCAAGTAATTGTAAATTAATAACAAGAAGCTAGAAACTCGAAGTGCGAGGAATTCTTCCAAGCGCGGCCATTTTCGGACATGCGCATACAGATTATAACATTTCGGAGCCATTTTCGCTCATGCGCATTAGCATTTTGGCGTAGAATAACGTTTTAGTCAGGAAAATAAAAAAAAAATTGCAAACAATATAGTAATTAAAATCGCAGTGAAATGGAAATACCTTTTTTTTTAAGCGATATGATTGTATAAGGTAAAATCTTAATGATTGGAATGGGGTGATTGTCTTTTCGCAACACACAAACACGGCGCGCCTTTTGAATCGAATGTCTTAGGAGCGCATAGATCCCTATATACTTTGCTAAGGTCGCGAAACAAGGATGATGGATTCCCGTCAATTATGGAGGCAACATCGTATTGTTTTACCGTCCGACGGGCAACATTGATTGATCGCTCTTGGATTCATGTAGCTACTTGGCTTCTTGCTTTCTTGCGCGGCTTGAAATAAATATATATATATATATATATATAGTTGCATTGAGCATGTTATCCCAACCTTGTGGTATTTCGCAGTATAAAATGACCAATGGATCCCATCATTCTGAATCCAAGTCCCAAATTTCTTGTCCACTGAGATTCAACAACGAGACACAAGCGCCGCTTCTAAATTTGGCATTACACATTGTGTGCGAAAGGACCAATCTTAAAAACCGTCACTCCATTGGAATTCAAGCAATTTCATACATCAAAGAGAGACATTTCTCCAAGTGATCCTCACGGAATACAAGTTTTCTTTAAACGGCAATATTATTGATCGTTTCATTATTTTTTTTTTTTTATTTATTTATAAAGTCAAGATTTATAATTTAAAGCAAACGTTTGGGAGAATTTTTTTTTAATGTAAAAAAAATTGGTTTTTTTTTAAATCTATAATTGAAATTTAAACTCGGTATAAAAACTGAAAAATTTATTTGAAAACGCGGTCAAATTTAATTTATTATAAATTCAAATAAAAGTTAATTGATTCAAATAAATATATCCATTTGATAATAGTCAATTCTTTGAATCAAATAAATTTGTTTTCAGAGTTTTCTAATTTATTTTTATTAATATTAAAAATATAATGGAAAAAAAGAAGCGAAGGAGAAATGTTTTTATAGAATGATTTTCAAGACTTTATAAATAAATAGAAAAAGACATCAGTGCCTGTCATGAAAAGGAATTAATTAACTTTGTACACTTGGAGAAAGTTATTTCATTCGAATATAATTAATTCATTTCGCAATATGTCGATTAGGATTTAATATAAAAGATTTAAGTAAAATAGAAATCTGAGAGGCAATCACAATTACTGCATTGAAGTTGTTTTTTTTGCTGAAAAAGGGGAAAAAATGACAAAAACTTATAATTTATTTACAAATTTTTTTTATTGATTTTAATATTAATAAATGTGTTTTAGATTATTTTACATTTAAATTCTCTCGTACAATATTTTTTGTATATATATATATTTATTTATTTATTTTTAGATAAAGATTATAAAGATTTAATAAAAAGTTTATAAAAATTTTTATATAAAAATTATAACTAAAATTAACTTATATTTAAATTTAAATTTTAACTTACAAAATATCTTAATTACAATAACGAATTTATAAAAAAAAAATAACACAATAGGAAAACCTTTAAGTAAAACAATCTCGATTTATTTTTTGGCAAAGATATAAATTTCAATAATTTTTTTTTTTTTTGGCAAATATTAATATTTAATTATAATAATTGAAAAATTAATTAATCTCACTGTAGTTGTATTTTGGCAAGTATGAAAAAAAATATAAAATCCAAATTGCAAACTACATTGTATGCAAAAGTGAAGGATATGAATTTTTAAGAATAAATGGATCATTGCAAAATTCATAACCTGAAGAATTTTCTGTGTCATATTGTCTATATCGCCAAGAATATTTTTTATTGTATTCACATTCATTGCTTAAATAAATTTTTTGACGTTTTTTATTGTCATAGAAATTATTTTCCACATTTGCAATTTTTCGTTTATTTTGCATTATTACTGGTGTAATTGAATTAGAATTGATAAAATGAAAATTATTTGCCATTGTTGTTATGGAATTTGATAAAAAATTTGTTTCACACAACATTGACGATTTCAATGGAATAAATTCTGATGATTTTACTAATTTATTGTACAAATAATTAACATTGTTAGAAAATAAAATTTTTAATTTATTTTCATCAATTTGTTTGTCAATTTTTTTTAATATTACTTTATTGGAAATTGATTGTTTAGTTAAATTTTCGTTAAATTGTAAATTTTCCTTATCATTGAAATTTATATCTTTAATCTCATTTTGATTCAATGAATTTTCAACTTTTTCTAAATTTATAGTTTTTAAAATGGAAATATTGTCTTCGATGAGTTTTTCTTCTTTTAAATTCACATCAGTAGAAATTGTACAATTTTTATCAGTCAATTTTGTTTCATTGACAATAGATTGATTTTTTGGTGAAATTTCTTCATTTTTAAAAATTGGAACACTAGTTTCAATTTCATTGAACATTTTTATCACCATGTGTTGTTGTATTTTTCCCAAAATAATTTGCCTTGAATATTCATAAATAACTTGTATGTTTTTGTCAAATTTTTCTTCCGTAATTTGTGAATTTTTCTTTGATTTTTCATTGATGAATTCTAGAAAAAAAATTAGAGAATTTAATATAAAATTCAATTAAATAAAAAAAAAAGAGACAAAATAATTTATAATTATTAGAAAAAAAAATATCCTTACTAAAAATTGTTGAATAGACGATTCGAGGAATTTGAATCCAATGTTTGGTATCAATTTTTACGTATTTTACATTATTACTTCCTAATAAAGTCGTTAGAAGGAAAAATGTAAGTTTTTTTACATTCACATCGATTCCTGCAGTGATTTCATCAATAAAATTCAAGTGTTTCGTTTTTATCCAAACATTTGAATTTGGTAAAAGTTCTACCTGAAAACAAAAAATTTATTTATTAATTTTTTTTTTTTAATATTTAATAACTATTTAATGTTATTTAATATTATTTAATAATTTTTAATATTATTCAATATTATTTAATAATTATTTAATAATATTTGATAATATTTGATAATATTTAATATTTGCTAATATTAAATAATATTTAATAATATTTTATTTAGTATCCAATACTAAAAAACAATTAAATACCTTTTTTCCAAATCCTTTTCCAAAACAATAAGTTGTTCGCTTTTGTTTATCATTTTCCATTACTTCTTCGTTTTCTTCAATTCTTCCTTCGACTGATTATCAATAAATAAATATCAATTATTTGCCAATGAATACAAAAATTAATTAATGTAAAAAAATTAATAATAATAATAATTAATTACCGGTTTCCAGAACGGGGAGAATTTTGTAGAGTTTGTTACTAATTTTTCGTGAACTTGTAGCTTGTTCGAGATATTTTTTAAAACTTGAAAACTCATCTTCAGCAATAGAGTTTTGTTCTAAAAATTCTGAAAAAAAATTTTTTTTTTTTAATTTTTTTTTTCAATTTATCGGAATAAAATCACTTGGAAAAAAATGTTAATTAGTATACTTACTTTCAATTGCATCGGGTAAACCCTGCAATTTAGTAAAACTACATCGAGTAATTTTTTTAAATTTTTCATAACCAATTAATTTATTTAACAAACAATTTATTAATTTTTGCTGATAACCTCTTCTTCCTCTTGATGAAAACATTTGTTCAATAATCATTAAATCACTTTCAAAAATCCATACATTTGATTTTGATACCAATTCAACCTGAAAAGTTTATTTTGTAATTATTTGCTTCTGATATTAATGGCAGTAGATAGTAAAATAAAGAAGTAAAATTATTGAAATATTCAAAATTAAAATAATTAAAATTAAAATAATTAAAATTAAAATAATTAAAATTAAAATAATTAAAATTAAAATAATTAAAATTAAAATAATTAAAATTTAAATAATTGAAATAATTGAAAAAAAGTTAAAATAATTAGAAATCTAAATTAATCGAAATAATCATTATACCTTGCCCTGTGAAATCATGTAGGGATATTCTTTAACAGTTTTCTCACAAATTATTTCGATTTCTTCATTTTTAGATTGTGTTTTATTAATTTTTTTTACAACAAGTGGTAAATTACGTTTTTTATAAGATTCCTTTAACATAGTCTCTAAAATATCAAAATTATCTGAAAAAAATTGTTTTTTTTTTAATTACAAAAAATAATTATTATTTGCAATTTATTTGATTAATTTTGATATTGGTAATATTAAATATTACTCACCGGAACTCTTTATTATTCTCAATGGAAGAATCATGTCCTCAATTGAAACTTCTCCTAATGGAGAATATTCACTTTTTAATTTAATACAATCATTTGTCAAAATATCCCTATAATTACTACCATCAGTATAGATAATTAATGAATATTTTTTATTAACTCTTTTCGAAGTCATATTATATAATTTTTTTTTTTTGAACACCACTGAAGTTTAACACTGTTTCTTATTTTGAACTTGTTTGCACTGAGGACAAAGTTTGAATGATTATTGTCCCCTTGAATGACCGCGTCCCTTTGAAGGGATGAGACTCAAATGAAATGGTTTTAACACTTTAAAGGCATATATTGAGGGATTATACTTTGAGAGATGGTACTGACATCTAGATTCTTTGTACAAGAAATAGACGTGAAATTGCCAAATTATATTTTCAGTGTTATGCGTAATAATTTCTATTATTTATTTAAATTGAAAATTGTTTTATTTTTATCAAATTATACTAATTTTATGGGAAATGATTTATTTTATAATCACTTTTTAATTATTAATTCGTTTACTAATTCAGATTAGTAGAAATTTTTACTAATTTTTAGTTAAATCCTACTAATTTTGTTAAACATTATACTAACTTTTAGTTAAACATTACTAAATTTTAGTTGAACATTACTAAATTTTAGTTAAACATTACTAATTTTTAGTTAAACATTACTAATTTTTAGTTAAACATTACTAATTTTTAGTTTAACATGACTAATTTTTAGTAAAAAATTACTATTTGATTTAGTAATTTTTTTTTACTAAAGTTTAGTAAAAAATGACTAAAGGTTAGTAGAAATTTGTACTAATTTTTAGTTAAATATTACTAATTGTTAGTAAAATATTACTAGTCTATTCAGTAATTTTTCTTACTAACGCATAGTGAAAACTGACTAAAAATTAGTAGAAATTTTTAGTAAAATACTACTATTTAATTTAGTAATAATTTTATTTACTAAAGTTTTAGTAATTTACTAAAGTTTTAGTAATTTACTAAAGTTTTAGTAATTTACTAAAATTTTAGTAATTTACTAAAATTTTAGTAAAAAATCCTACTAAAAATTAGTAGAAATTTCCACTAATTAAAATTAGTTAACTAAATAGTTAACTCAAATTTAGAGAGTACAAAAACGATATAATGATTAAAAAATTCCTTTTTTTTTGGAATATTTTACAAAATATAGAAAATTATGAAGTTTTACTATAGAAATTTTTTACTTCCGCAAATTTTCTTTTACGAAAATTTCGTATTTCTTCGCACAGGCTAAAATAGCATATTTTTCTTATCAGTGTTCCTATTTAAAAATAAAATCATATTCATTATTCTCATATACATTTAAAGTTGAAAAAAAATTTTTAAATATTTTTTTCTAGTAAATCTTAATAAAAGCCACATTTTGTATTGTACTATTTAACATATAGGAAAAAAAAACTGTTAATAATTAAGGGTTTTTCCCGAGCTTACATTTACCCCTAAAATTTTTTTTTTTCTTTCTAAAAGTCATAAAGTCTAAAAGTCTTTGAAAATAAATAATAATACAGGGGAAAAAAAAAACATTTTTTGCACATCTGGAATTTTTAAAAATTAAAATCGGTATCTTTTTCGAAAAAGGAGAATTTTTACAATGGCAATAGGAAAAATGAAAAGCAATATGCGTTCATTGTAATAAAATACCGTATTTCGTTCTTGTTTTTCTATTTAAGATGTTAAAATTTATTGCCAGCTTAAACAAAAATCTGTATCTTTTTCCAAATGGACAATCATTTTCATCTTAAGTACCTGAACATTATTTTTTGTAAAGTTCAAAAAAAAAAGTAATAATTTTATAAATGATTATTGAAGGGCAAGGATTAAAAATATAAAAATTAAAGTACAATTAATTAAATTTTTACTTTATTAATAATTTTATTTTTCTCATGATTCAAATATATATACAAAATAGGAATTTCCAGAGCACTATATTGAATCTTTATAAGTGTGTAAGGTAAACATTACAGGTAGTTGTTAACAATGTCGACAGGGGATTAAATGCATTTCTTTTGAGTTAAATACATTCTATTTTCTGGTCACATTATTGGTCTTCTAATCCCCTCTATATTGTATAAAAGTATTTATTACCTTTTATTTTACAACACTGGATTTACGAAAAATTATGAGTAGTTTTTGATTTTTGTAAAAGTAGAGATATCGAATCGGGTTTTCCCTCCCATACACAAAAATCATTATGATTTTTCCTTTCTTAATCATAAAATAAATTTTTCTTATTTTTCTTACTGAATCTATGTAAATAATTCCCTTTTAAAGATTATTGACAAATTTATTGCTTTTACGAAAATTGGTAAAATTTTATGATTTAATCTTACAGATAACAATTCTTTTGCTTCATGACAAATAGTTCATTGTTTATTTATAAATAATTGCATTAATTTAAAATTATCAAAAATATTGATGCAAATTTTTGTATCTGATATTTTTGGTATCAATTACTTCTAAATTAGTGTACTTAGAGAAACGATTGTTTGGAATTACTATTTCGTTAGTTTTAGCTAATTTGTATTAGTTACTGTTACTATTTAGTTAGTTAGCCTAACCATTTCGTTAGTAATGTTAGTAAATTCGTTAGTAATTTATTCCAACTAATTAGTTAAACCAACTATTAATATAGTTATGCCAACCAATAAAAATATGTAACCATAATAAATTAACAGCAGTATAGTTTAATAAGTAAAAATGGTAACCAATCTTTTCTCTTAGTGTGTGTTGACAATTTTTATTAATTGGATTTGCTTTAAAATATTTTTATTATATCTTTTTGTTTTTTCTATTAATTTTTCGAGTATTTATGTAGAATAGGAACTATTTCCGTCTTTTTGGTTGCTGTGCACATTCGTCAGTTGATGCGTTTTAACAGACAAACGTGTCTGGTATCCGAACACAGTTCTCGTGCCCGAAGCGCCTGTCAAGGTGCCAGTCGTCGATAAATAACCAACTGTACTCAATGTGAGTATATATATATTCGAAATTGCCAGCTTGGTGGCAGAAGACACGAACCATCCTGACAAGTGCCGTTACACACAAAAGCACATATTTATACATTATTCCGAAGGACGCCTTTAAAAATCTGCACATATAGGCAAAATCTCTATTGACAATGCTTTTTCTTTTTTTTTTTTACTCCTAAAAACCAAATCTATCTTGAGAGGTCCATTGATTTTATTATACATATACTCGTTGTTTTCTCTAGCAGAATTATCACTTGAGAAATACATGCGAAGGAAACCAAATATTTCTAAACCAATACATCCTTCTTCTTGTATACTGCTTTTTGCATATAATATATAGTGACTCTGCGGTCCTCTTCATTCGACACCATTTCTCTTCTCTCGATATTCACTTCTTCTTTAGAAAATAAATGCACATTAGGCGTGTCAACCGAACCCCTTTAACGTGTGAAAACAGTTGCCATTGAAAATAAATCTCTTTGCGTAATAAATAGTTTACCGCCTTTAGTTATTCGTCCATTTTTTTTTTTTTTTTTTTTTTTGAGGAAAATTCAAGGGAAAATAGGATAACAAACGAAAGTATAAAAACAGCTATATATGAAGGAAAATACTTTTGAGAAATTTTTTTCATTTAGAAAAATTTCTGATTTTGAATTTTTTTCCTAGTTTCAGAAGATCCGAGTTTAAAAAACTAAAATATGAAAGAATTCAAGAATTTTGCGATAGAATATAAAAATGAAAAATCGTGTAAAAAAAAAGATAAATATTAAAATTATCTAAAAATCCAAAGAGCAAAAAAAAAACTCCCGAAACTTTCCAATATTAGAAACCTCAATTAATATTTTAATTAAGCCATACAGAATTGAAAATTATATTTCCTCTTTATATTTTCAAGATTTATTACAACCAACCAATTATATACATGTATATATTGCAGACAAGCATAAATTCTCAATGCTATATATATATGCTATACATTTTAATATAAAAGTGCAAATTAGAAGATAAAATTTATGATTTATTATATACAATTTTCAACATTTTGTTTTTTCAATTAAAAGAGAGAAAAAAAAATTATGTTTTTTTTTTTTTTCAAAGCGTATTATTGTGGATCCAAATGCAATTAGTTGGTAAATATTATTTATACAATCAACTCTTTATCAATATATTTACGATTCTCCTTTAAATATATTCATAAAGAGAATTTTTTTTTTTTTTTCATGAAATATTACTAAAATATTTATAAATTCACCTAGATACTCAAGAGAGAGAGAGAGAGAGAGAGAGAGAGAGAGAGAGAGAGAGAGAGAGAGAGAGAGAGAGAGAGAGAGAGAGAGAGAGAGAGAGAGAGAGAGAGAGAGAATATATATATGTATGCAAATCCAAATTTTTCAGATCGGAAAATTCTATGCAAATAACTGATTATAAAGAAACGGAAAATATTTTCTATAAATGAAACGCCGGATGCATTTATGTAGAGTGAATGTATTTTAGTTTGTTCTATTAAAAAAAGAGCAGAAGTTTTCTATTTTTGCCGTTTTTATATTTTGTATTATATTATAATTTATAATTTTTATAGCAATCTAATATAATTTAACAAAAAAAAAAATGTTGCTTTTAATAGAATTAGGAAATGATAGGAAAATAAATTCAAGCCTCGGATTATACGACTTTTTCGATTATTTCCGACTTTTTTCGACTTATTTTAATAAAATGCGACTATTTCGACTTTTTTTTGCATTTTTTAAAAAAAATTTGTAAATAAAATATATTTTTTTTAGTATAAAATGCACATCTTCTTCATATCTTATTTATTTCAATTATTTAACAAATTTTTAACTAAAATTCTTCACTAAATTAATTATTTTTAATAATTACACTGAAAAAAAAATTCTGGTTAGGCTATATTTAACATTACTTTCTAGTTATGTTAACCAGAATTCTAGTTGAATTAACTAGAATTCTCGTTAAAATAACCAGAATTCTGGTTAACCTAACCAGAATCAAAATGTTAAATATACCCTAACCAGAATTCTGGTTATTCTAACTAGAATTTTTTTTCAGTGTAAAAACGTCACAAATTCAATTATTTTCAAATTATTTTTCAATTAAAATTTTTATGAAATTTAACAATTGTTTATAATTTTAAAAAAATATCAAATAAAATTACCAAAAAAATTTTTAATTCAAAATAATAAATCAATTCAAAATCAAATAAAATTTAATTATTTTCAAAAATTTCAATTCAAAATCAAGT